GGGGGGGGGGGGGGGGGGGGGGGGGGGGGGGGGGGGGGGGGGGGGGGCGAAACCCTGGAAGGAAAAAAATAGTAAAATAGCTCATGAAAATAGCGCCTAGGCTGGGCGAAACCCCGAAAGAACGAGAAGAAATATTATCGCCTGAAAATAGCGCTCGGAGCGGGGAGCACAGAGCACTCAACCACGATGTCGTCGGAAAGACCCCGAGAGAAAAGGGGGTGGACGAAAAGGATGAAAAGAATTGAACATGAAGCATGAAAGTAGCGCGTAGAGCGGGACGCATAAAGCAAGGAGCTGGGATTTTTCCCGAAAACCCCCCGAGAGAAAGGAGGTGCGAGGAAGCAAGACAACCAAAAAGAACACAAAGAGCGGCTAGACGCAGCGCCCGGAGCAGGGAGGACAGAGCAGGAAACCACGATTATACGGTTCGAGAGCAACAGCCTACCAAATGGTCATACAAAAGTCACAAGGAAGGAGGCAACCACCCGCAGGCAGTACGCAGTAAATTTCGGATCACCAAATGTGTATTGTTACATGTACGCATATGCATATGTGGGTGTGAGAGCAAAACATTTTCAGTTTCGCATAAGAAAAAAAAGGAAGAAAGATGTGCACAATGCTTTCGCGTGCATAGCAGCGCAGATGCAACAAGGCCAGCGGATAAAACATGTACGGTGAATAAGGGACACTATATAGTGCACGCTAAAGCCGACAGTCCGCACCCCTACGGAAAGCACCGGTATCGAAAGAAGAAAAAGTGGCGGCACCCAGAAAGAAAACAGATCCAAAAGGCCGAGCGGGAACAGAGAGAAGCCACCATGACACCAGAGGAGAAAACAGAGGTCGCAAGAAGAGAACACCCCGAGAGCAGAGAGAAAAAACCACGAAAATCGAGACAAGAGGGAAAGGGAAACAAGGTGGACCGTCTCAACACGCAAGGTTACCCCAGACTAAACATTCACCTTGTGCGACGTGCTCACGTAAGTTTGCGGCGGCTTGGTCGCTGGCTCCCCGGACTGGCTTCCGGTGGCTCCGAGGGCGGCGCCGCTTGCCGAAGACAGCGCGTAGAGCTCCTGATGCAGGTCCGTCCGCAGATCATCCAAGGGGCGCTTCGGCCCGCCGGCTGCGATGTCGCCCCCAGCAACTGACCCGCCCGCGACGACACTCCGGGCAGTTGCCGGAGCCCCCGCCCCGGCACTGCCACCCCCCGCGGCGCCAGCGGGCACGCCAATCCCGGCCGAGGAAGAGGCAGGAGCGGCGGAGTTGTGGGCTGTAGGAAGGAGCGGAAGTCCGCCGGACAGAAGCATGCCCCCGTGACCGTCGCACCGCCAAAGAAAGTTCACCAAGCTCCCGAATATAGCCTCCTGCTGGCGAGCCATCTTTTCCGCGTCCGTGCCGGCGCCACCGACGGGCGCGTTGACGATGGCGACCGGGTCCGACAGGTTCATCGCCTCGGGGCGGTCCGTAAGCATGTACCAGGTACGGAGGCAGTAACCGAAAGCCAGGGTGTCGGCCCCACGCGGCCCAGCGGCTGCGGCAAACTTGCCGGGAAGCCACTTGCGGACACCCTGGTCGTTGACCACGGAACTCACGCTGTGGATTGCGTGCATGCTGTCCGGCGCCGACGCGGTGACGAGGTCGATGTCGAGGAGGGCACCACTCATGGTGACGAAGAGGGAAGAGCGGAGGAGCGGAGAGAAGAAATAGAAGTAGACAATCCGGAAACACACGCTGTTGCTGAGTAGAAAATGTAGGGAAAAAGGGATACCCACAAGAGAGGCGACGTGCGCAGAGCGCGCAGGTCGCAAGACGAGGGCGTGCGCGCTGACGACTGAGCAGTCTCAACCAGAGCTCCCTGTTCTCTTTCTGTTTTCCTATCGAAGCAGGGTGCCAAATTGAAGAGTGAGAACTGAACTCGTCCTCTCATATAGCTCTTCATTGTGTGACACACATCTGGAAACGATTGCATATTTTCCCATCTTGGTTCTTGATAATCCTGAAGCAAAATGCGCATTAGAATGGCCCAAAGAGCTTTTCGATCGAAACTTTCGTGCTATTTTTGAGCACATTCACCAACTTGGCCAGGCTCGCGCAATCACAGCTGACGAAACCATCCCTCCCTCAGTCACATCCTTCATTCCGCTTTTGTGTTTGTTGTGTCGCAGGTGCGGCGTCGCTTCGTGCTGACTCGGCTCAGCCGCGAGGCCGGCCGTCCGGTGGACCAGATGACCACAGTTCTGGACCTGACCGGGCTTGGCATGAAGCACATGAGGCAAGCGTGACGCGTATCGTTTGTACAGCACTGCCTTAGGTTGGCTTTCCAAGCATCCAGAACTCGGCTCTAGGTCATGCCCGGTGTCAACGGTTTTGCAAAGCGTTCGCTTCGGTACCAAAGTTCGATACGAAAATGGCTGGGAATTTTTTCAGTCATTCAAGTTTGTTGTGATAGGGGGCGCCCAAGCTCCATGTCCCAACACTAACCTTTCCAGACCCCGCTCAAGCCTAAGATGCCCTTTTCTCACCTACTACGACCCTACGTAGGTTATTCCCATCCCAAACGTTACCCTGTCCCTGGAGGAGGCCGCGATATAGACGCGGCACCACCTTACCTACACTCTTCCTCCTTCTAACGCTCACTCTACCCCTATTTCTCACTCTACCCCTATTTCTTAAACTCTCGCCTGCAGCAAGGAGGCCATGGCGTACACCCGGCGCATCAGCGACGTATTCCAGGACAACTACTCCGGCATGACCTCCTCCTTGCTGATCCTGAACGCCCCCTGGGTGTTTAGTAAGGGTTGGCAGGTTGTCGAAAGTGAGTTGGAACGTTGTAACAACGAAACCTGGCATACTGAAGACCAACGTAGGGAGTTGGTGTGGGGTACGGCGGGAGGCATTACTTTCGGAGTCAACACTTGTCCGTCTCGACGGAGGGACATTAACGACCGTCCATTTCCTGAGGCAAAAAACTATCCCTTTGGGTCACGGCTTTTTTTTCGACAAGAAAAATAAGGGGAAGGGAGAGATAGTGCAGGAGAGAGACGGAAGTGCAAAAAATGAGCCAAGTGCACTTTTGTAGACGCAACGGCTGTCTCCACCAGTAGGCCATGAGGGCAGCCCGCGACAGGGTGGTGGCCACAGACAGGGTCCTAAAAGAGTTGATGGATGGCCCCGGTGCGGTCGGTAGGGCAGGATAGCCGTGTAGACCGTGAAACGATCAGTGGTCAAGCTACCTAACTGCTATATTCTCAGTGTGTTCAAATGATCTATGAGAGGGCTTGTTGACCTGTAGCTGGTGTTTGTACTTGTGTACTTCTCTGTCCTCGCCCAATGTGAGCCCTGCCAGAGCTCCTGTGTTTTCCCCACAAGCACACAGGCATACCAGCACACACCTACCTTTGCATCAATGGCTCGCTAGGTTTGGGCGAGGGTATGTGTGGGGCTGTTTTGCTGGATCTCGTCTATACTGCTGCTGTATGTGTACCTGCTGACATCATGACTGCTGGATCTTGAGCGTACCTTCATCAAATTTGGAGATGCAACATACCACGATATCCTGGCTTGGGTGGGCTTCAAATTTACGTATTGCTGCCCTCCGCTCTTTGCATCAGTGGCGTACTATATTCGGGCGAGGGCATGCATGTGGAGCTATGATGTGTGTCTCTGTGAAAGGACATGTAGAGAGATTCATTGTAGCATTCGCATTTAGCGCATTGCGCACTTCGAATTTTGGTACGCTGGCACTGCGTCTTTTCATTGATCATCTGTAAGCGCGGTCGATGCTAATAATGAAACACACCAAACCTCTGGACTTGCCAGCACATGGCGTGGAGGAATACAGGGCGACAACTCCATGGCATGCCACCTCAACATTTGCAAATGACCTATCAACGATCTGTCAGTAGCCTGAAGACCCAAAAAGGGTTAATAGGGGTTTCCGATGAACTCAAATCCTCTTGAGGACAAAAATCCGGCTCTCACTACCAAACCTCCCATTGCTTGCTCATCATATTGCCATGCTTTCCCTTCGTGTCTCTACCCTCCTGCCAATGCAAGCCGATTGCGGCAGAGCACCTTTTTTCGAACCCCGGGGGCAGTCAATCATCATGATGGCGTCTATTAGCGTGCGTGCCGGGTGTACCCCCAGAACAATATGTGGCACATCCTCCGACGCCTCAACCCTTGTTGGTCGTCATCTGTCTTGCGTGCCATACTTTTTTTCGTTTGCTGACACGGCAGGCTTTTTGAGTGAGGACACCGTGGCGAAGGTGAAGGTGCTCGGCAAGGGGGAGGCAGGTCTAAAACAACTCGAAGAGTACATTCCCAAGGTGAGGAACACAGTTTGTGTGGAATCCACATGTAGTCGGCAGCAGTTGTGTGGAATACGAAACGATGCAACCCGTTGAGATGTGGCGCGCAAACGAGGCGAGTCAGAGGCACCCGAGACAGGCATGGCTTGGAAATTGTCGTGCATAGATTGCGATCACGTTGAGCATCCTTCAGGTGTAGCTGTCGTTGTGTGCGTTCCTGTTTCGTGTTATAGCTCGCTTGACACCCCATGCCACACACAACTTGCCCCGAAACATATTGATACGGCTGGGTGTCGCTTTTTTAGAGTAGCATAACGCCGTGATTGGTACGGCTGGGATTCGCTTTATAATCGCACCAAGACGCCATGATTGATACGGCTGGAAGCCGCTTTTTAGCAACAGCACGACTCTCACGAATTTTCAAAAGTGAACGTTCTTCCGCCCAACCAATGCCATGTGGTCCCCGTTTCGTTCTCCCACCGCAGGAGAACATCCCGGAGTTCTTGGGAGGCGAGTCGCGCGCAGTTATCGGCCCCTCAGACCCCCTTTGGTCGGACGTCGACCGCGCGGTGCGGTTGTGGGGCGACGACGGCGACCCTTTCCTCGACCCAAGCGAAGTGAAACGAGTCTCGCGACGCATCGCGCGCGAACGTACGTCTTCCGCTTCGAAGTCGAAGTCGAAGTCGAAGTCGAAGTCGAAGTCGAGGGCAAGATCGAGGTCAGCGATTGCCGCATCAGGAGCGAAAGGTGTGCAAGAGGAAGCGGTGCCATCCCCAGTTACCGCAACCACGGGCGCCGTGGAAAGGGACAGCAAAAGGGGTGCTGCTGACTGTGGTAAAAAAGTAAGGGTTACATCGTCGCGGGAAGCGGCGGCTGCCTCGGTATCGCGAGTTCGGAAGACGACCCGCAGCAGCAGCAGTAAACGGAGTAAGCGCCAACTGGGCGTGCCGGACTCAGGGAAGACAGTCAAGGGAGAAAGCGAAGGGGGATTGGGGCATGCTGGCGGAGAGCCAGCGGTCGACGGCGAGGAGCACGAAGATAGGAAGAGGAAGAACCATCACCGGCAGCGCGATGGGCTCGTCTCCAGCGAGGGCACCACGGGAGCAGGACCGCCGAGCTTGTCCTCCTACCGTCGGGCGTCGTCATTGTCGGTCTCGCGGAGAGCGGCTTCAGACGAGGCCGGCTCTCCTTCCCGCAAAACGCGGGGAAGTAAGAGGACCACCCCTCAGGAGGATTACTCGGAAGAGGGACTTGGCACCGAGGATATCATCGGTGATGACGGTAAAGCGGTGGCGTTGGGAGACACCGTGATCGGCGAAAGGGCACTCCAGGGTGTCGCGAAGGCTCTGGGGCCAGTGTTGGGGGCGTACTTCTTGCAGATCGTGGCCGGTTTGGCATCGGTCGGAAGAGTCCTGTGGGGTACCGTGGAGAGTGTTCTTTTGCTCTTGAGGGATCTATTTTTCGAGCAGATCGAGGTGGAAGAGTAAAGTGTGAAAAAAATGCGTGGGGCTCTCAGTTGATTTTGTTGTGTTGGTCATACGAGTTACGTATGACCTTCGGGTCGCATGTGTGTCTCGTATCGCAGCCGAAGTGGAAGGGGCGCTTCTAAGGAGCCCTAATTTGCGGAGGAGAGCGTCTTTCGCACCGCGAAAGTATGGCAGCTTGAGGGATGACTGACCTGGCCTTGAGAATGTATCGTTTTCGTTTCAAGACACTCTTCCACTGACTAGCCGACTGTGTGTCGACGTATGTACTTCACTCCAGAGCGATGTTGGAGGGAATGCGACAGTTCAAAGTTTTCCCGAGGTATGATTTTGTTCGAGTTAAGCAAGAGATCGAAGTTTTCAGCCCTGGTTTCGGGAGATAAGTTGCGGTTCCCCCGTGGTTCAATTTGTAGCTGATTTCTGCGGGCTTTCGTTTAGTTTTCGCTGCTAGTATGCATATTTTGCAGGAAGGATGTATCGAGCATGCTGTTCTGCTATTGCTGGCGTCTTGTTTCTTTCGTTTTATATGCAATTTTTGACTGCAAGTCGCCTCCTACCCGTTGGCTCTGTATCGATGAGCTACGTAGACTCGGAGATCAGCGTAGGGGGGCGTATTGTTTCAAGTAGGTTGGTAAACCGTCGTGCCGCTGCGCTGTTTTGTTCAATTTTGAAACCACGAGTGAGCAAGAGATGGATTCTTCGCAACCTCCTTTTCCGTATCCGGAAGAGCCGTTATCCTCTTGAGCATCATCTGGCTACGCTTGGACGCTTGGATAGCTCCCTCAGCCGCGGGGAGGTGGAACTCTTGGTCCGCGCCATCCGCCTGAGTGCTCACTTTTTCATGTGGCGATTGTGTGCGGGATTTCGAGCCTGGTGGGGCTCACGCCTGAAAGGCTGTCATCACCAGGGCCGTTTTCGAGGGGATGCAATCTACTTCTTCAACCCAAGAGTTTTGTTTGTTTTTTTTTGCGTTTTCGCATTTAGANCCATTTTCCAACAGTATCGCTGTTAGAAATGGGGGGGGGTACCCCCTGGTCACACCCCGATCGTGCCAGAACGAGGAACTACACCGTCTGCTGGCCAAACAGAGGCCAGTATCACGAGGTCATGCACAAATTCTCTGCAGGTAACTAAAATTCAGGGCGTTCTGCATCGTGTTGGCCGCACACGAGCCGAAAACGTCAACCCTGCCACATTGCTCTGCTGACATTCTTGCCTTCGGTCGAAAAGAGCTGTCTTTGCGCCTGTTGCATGGATGGGTGATCAGTTCAAAACGCATGCCAGTGAGAGGCCTTAAGCCGTCGACATCCACAAACTGCAGCCAATGGCGTGTGGTCATACTCATACCCTCTGCTCGCGTACCAGAAACAGAGCGTGTTGTCCAGTTTTGATCGCACACGGCCTGCAAACGTGAACCAAAGTGTGTTGCGGTGTTGACTTTTTGGTCTTGTTTCCTGTTCGGCCGCGTGTGCGTTTGCTTCGCGTGTCGCCCGCGACCAGTCAAAAACGCATGCCAGAGGGAGGCCTTTGGCCGACGACATCCACAAATAGCATCCAGTGGCGTGTGGTCATACACATACCCTCTGCTCGCGTCCCAGAAACAGAGCGTATTTATTGTCCAATTCTGATTGCACACGGCCTGCAAACGTCAATCGGTGTGGTTCGGTGTTGCCTTTTTTAGACGTTGCTTTTTTTTCTGCGGCTTGCTCCGAGTCCAGTGTGATCAGTGTACAACGCATGCCATCAGAGAGAGGCCTTTGGCCGACGACATCCACAAACTGCAGCCACTGGCGTGCGATGATACACATGCCCTCTGCAGGTGACCCATAAACAGGGCGTTCGGTGTCTTGTTGGTCGCACACGAGCCAAAACCTGTATCAGCCTCTTTTTTCCCTTCAGAAAAAAAAAAAACTCGAGGAACAGCAGTAAGACGGTCGTTGGGATCTTGAAAAAAAATTCCGTGCAGGCCACCCCCCCGGACGCGAGAAAAAAAAAATATCCGAAAAACTCACGCCGTAAGACTCAGCCTCATGAGCTTTTTTTGTTGGTCAAGAGAAGGAGAGAAAGAATTGCATGTCTTCCACTGTTTTGTCGTGTTGACAATAAATTGTGCAAATAATGAGATGGTGCTTCTGTGGGGTATATCGCCGACGCGATTGAACCCTCAATTTCTACTCCCTTCCCTGATCGAATAAAATTATCGTCTGATGTTCTGGGATATCCCGACCAATACACGGGTCTGGGCTGAAGTTTGACTTGCCAGATGTACTTAGAAAACAAGACTTCCAGGAATGACGCGCCAATTCACCACTAGCACAGTTTTTTCGTAAACGTGTAGCAAGTTCCCAAATAAACTAGCAGATTATCAGATGCCTTTGGCCATCAGGGAGCAACTCCAGTATAACTAACAACCAGAAGGTCGTCGAACCTCAACCCAAGGAACATGCCAACCCACCGCTCAACTCACTTCTATGAGGCAATCCAAAGCGCCTTGAAATATGAACTGTATGATTCTCCAATTCGCTTCGCAAACAGTCTTCACGCCCCATACTCTGCCCCTATGATTATTACGGCATAGTTAGTAGCCCTTTTTGCACCGCGTTGTGTGCCGGGGAGCAAAACGTGCACACAAGGTGTTTACTATTAGCAAGACGCCCCCGCGCCCTTACAAATCCGTCGGCGGAGGTGAATTGATCGTTCTTTGCGCTCCGCCCTACTCAGCATCTTAGCTACGCCAAGATTCAGTCGCACTCTTTCAGAATCGCCCAACACCTGGGACCCCCTGAAGCGATCGTGGCGAAAAGAGTTGTTACGGCGGATGGTGGTCCAAGTGCAAATGATAGTACAAGTCCAAGCACTTTCAACAATAAACCAGGTGATCATCGGCAGTGCACATCCAGACCGACACACACAAAACGTGCCAATCTTTCTCGCACAAGAACTTCTTCCACTGTTGTTCCCCCTCCCGCAGCATGCTTCACACTGAACCCCACGGCAATTTGTCAACAACGCCATCGATTCCGTCTGCACACGAAGACCGATGACCACACTAGATCACACCTTCGATCTGAAAGTGACACAAATCATCACCTATTCCGCAACTGCTTACACACAAGGTCGAACGAAAGATAGCACATCGCAACCACTGCGCGTCTCACACCTGCGGTCAGCAAGCAGCGCTGCCAGGGCCGCTCGTTGTTGCAAGGTGTCCTTAGCAACGACAGGCACTACAACATAGAGTATGACCGCAAGAGTTTAGGCGGCATGGGCGCTCCAGCTATCTCTGAACCCTGATCTATAGCCAAACTCTGTCCCGGAATAACGAAGAAGGAAGATCTGCACCTGAACCTTGCGCAAAAAGACCTTGGAGGTCGGTCGCCTGGTAAGGTCTCTTGCTGTGTTTGACCAGCGGCGCATGCACGTAAGTGCCGCCGTGTAGACAGTAATGCCGGTCGTCTGGCAAGGCCTGTTGCCGTGTTTGGGCCAGCGGCGCAGGTACTTACCGCAGTACCCAATAGACCCCGGTCAACGTTTACCAGAAGAGTACCTGCGTAGTCATACCGGTGCGATCACATAACCAACGTGAACATGGGCCGTATGAGGACCAAAACAGAGACCTGGAATAGGTAGCGATCGCGGGCATCGATCGGCTTTGGCAGCTTTGGTTTTGAGAGTTCATAGAATGGAATACACGAACGACTTGCAGCTAGCACACGTGTAAGGTGTAAGGGAGGTTGTGAAGCAAAGGCGATGGCGGAGCTTGGCCGGCACCAGAGTCTGCCACCACAATGCGACACGGACAGCGACGTTGAGGTCGAAAAGGAGGGCACACGTGACACTGCAGATTGAACGCAACGGCAGCCGAGAGATTTGTAGGAATTTCCAAACAAGTAGCAGCATGGAGCATACATGCAGCAAGCATCGCGTCAGAGGGCAAGACAACATCACGCACGCGAAAACAGAGAATGATCCTTGAACAGACGTTAGGGAGACGGGTTCCGCTTTGAGCGTCATATCCAAGCATACACCCTTTCAACGAGCCGTTTCGTGGTTTCGTTACTTTACATAAAAACAAGGTAACCGGGACTCGACCGATTGTACAATTCAACCTTGTTCCTTGACAATCTTCCGTGCGTTGTAACATAGGTTCGCCCCGTTCGCCATGTCATCAGAACTCCCACGAGTTTGAAGTTCCTTCATAACAGCAGTGGGTAGTGGGGTTCGAACCCGGATTCCCTGCCACCACAACCAAACATCCCACCACGGACGCCAAGGTATTGTGAAAGAGGGAATTATCCTTGACGGACAGACTGGGGAGGTGGGATCTTTTTCTCAGGTTAGCTAAGCATGCTCACCAGAACATTGTTGCCAAAACCGCATCCCTCCTTCGCGTTGTTTGGCCGAGGATGCACGAAGACAATATCGTCCGTGTAGTCCTGGTTCTGTTTATATCCTCGGCAGTAGCATGACAAACGCAGGAAGCCTCGCTCGGCCACAACCAAGAAGCTCCATGGGCTGCCGCCACTCTCAACAGCAGACGGCGAATACCTACCAACCCGTTTAACTGCTCCTCTGTGGCGGCTTTTCCTCCGATCGTCTTTTCGTGAAGCTTACGGCCTGCATATTCCAGGGGCGTGTCGTTGTACACCACTTGATTCCCGGCGCTTTCGAATGAGGCCGCCGATGTTGTATCTGCTCCCGCGTCAACGAGCAAACGCACCACCCTGGGAGTACTCGACTGGTCATCGAATGTATCAATGCTACTGAGCAACGCTGTTCTGCGGAGATGGTCTTGCGTGTCGTTCACGTACGCAGCCAAACCGGCAGCCCCTCCCTCATGTCGTTCCAAGATCATTTCTATGGCGCGCGCTCGACCATATCCGGCGGCGATGATAAGGGCCTTGGTCGTATTGGCGACTCCGGCCTCTATCAAAATTGTCATGATGTCCACATACATGCTGAAACTGGGCGGCTAGACGAAGAGCATCCACGCCGACGCTTGCACCACCACAACCTACGATCCCGGAGTGCTGTAGCAGGTCACGAACCACCTCTGTGTGCCCGTGTTGAGCCGCCGCATCCAAGGGAACGAACAGTACGCTAGGTGACTCGGATTTAGCCAAAGACGGATCCGCCCCAGCACGAATTAGCACCCTGACCGCTTCCGTGTGCCCCCCCGACGCTGCAGTGTACAGCGGCGTCGCTCCATCTGCTCAACGCCTGTCTGCATTCACACCTGCTTCAATCAGTGCCGTCATTACCTCTGAGTGTCCTTCATCAGCAGCTTTGTGAAGCGGCGTCCGGCCGCCGGGCGTAGTTGCTTTCGAGGTCTGCGCCTGCTTCCATGAACATTCTGGCCATGGCCAGGTGGCCGTTTTGGGCGGCAATGTGCAAAACACTAAAACCGGCATCGCCAACGACGGACACATCGGCTCCCTTGTTGAGCAGGATCCTGGTAACTTGTGGGCATCCATTCTGACCAGCAAACATGAGAGCGCTCCAGCCTTCGGGGTTGAGTTGATCGATATCATATGGCAATCCGCTCGCCAGGAACTCAAGTGTTTGCTGGACGGAGCCATCACACGCGGCAATGTGCAGTGCGTTCGTCGGACCTCGAGGAACCTGACGAGGAGGAATTGCCGGGGGCATTGTAAAAGACGGTCCGTCGGTTTACAGTAGTATCTGAGCGAAGAGCGGGATGCTTGATACTGCTGTGACCACGCTGAAGCCTGTGGTGAATGCAGAATGGTGCTGCAGGGGCAGAGGAGGGCGAGGCGGGGGCGCCGTCGCGGAGGAGATTGGGTTTCCAATGGTTCTCCCGGATGTATGCGATGTAGGTACGCTGACGGTCGTCCCGGTGGTCTAGTCTACTGGTATCCTCCGAAACCGCTAGTCGCAGAGGTCGTGAATTCGAATTCCCATGGGGTAAAAAGATTGCAAACTTTGCGGGTGAAAGCGAAATACAGCTGAAAAACTCTCGTGAGTATTGTACCAAACTTCGACATTATTTAGCACCGTTGACGAGGGAAAGGGACGCTTGAGCACCATTTGTGAGCTCGGTGAAGAACCCCACACTAAAGCCTATATAGCGGCCATTTGTAGCCCACAAGAGGATGATATGATCAGCAAAATAAGAACCCCAGCCTCGGCCGAAGCTAGAGGCGCCATCTGTACGCTGACAACGTGTAATACACATCTGCAGTCCTCTACATACGCTAAAATAATAAGTGTAGTCACATCTCACCACGAACAATAGGGGGACTGTCGCCATAATATCCAGATCCCAGCGAAGTTCAAACAACGATGTCCTATGATCTGATAAAACCAGTGTACAGCAGTGCTGTACTGTACATGTGTTTGTTCGTGATTTTGTTGTAGTCTAGTCTAGGTATGGCTCCGTCGTTGTGAAGCTGCTACTTCGTACATTGTTGTGACCATCAGGCCGCTTCTGAAGGAAGGTGTGGTTGCCGTTGGAAAATATAGCGTTCGGTCTCCGTAGATTAACTGCAGGGGCATAATCTGGTCAGCTGTATTGTGTTTTGGGACGACAGCAGCTTTTCCGTGTAGATCAAATACAGCAGTGTAGAAGTTGTGGGAGCACAGCTGGTACGGTGATAACGATCCGGTTCTTGTAGCAGCAAATCATAAGTCAATACACGTGTCAGCATCCGCGCTCGCGAATCATATAAAATACTCGTGATGTGTGAGGATTTCGCAACGAGAGAGCAGAGGAGGCGTCGATCCGATGTCTATCAAGATTTACAAGGAATCCTCCCCTGGGTAGGTTGCTATACTCGCGAAATGAAATCGAGAGTGCGACGGACGGAGTCCAACCACAAAAAATATACATCACCAAACAAAGCGTCACAACGCACCACCAGGGAGAGGCACATCTCCTCGATCTATCACACATGTCATACTCTCGGCCAATCATACGTTTATCATTCCGTCAAACGCACTTTCATCATAATCTGGGGACGCTGGAGGTCGCCCCCACCACGCGCGCGCCAAAATCACATTATTGAATAATTCATTCGTTGACCGCCGACTCCCATAAACAACAACGCAATCAATCATCTGTACACCTCTTTCGTTCACAGGGGATTCCCCAGACATCAACCAAACCTACACAAAGCTACCGTATCACCAAATGTAGCTCAGTTAGTCGTCAACTCCAACAACGAAGCACGTGCCCTTCGACGTTGTCAGTGACACTCTTCTTCCAGCAACCAACGCGAAATCAATTGACAGTCACGCCTTCCGTCATAACGTGCAACACAATTTTAATCGTGCACACGCGCAAAACCGAGGTATCCTCAACAAAGCTTGTAGCCAACCTTACACACACGCGGACCCGCGGACCGTCAAACTACTCACGCCGGTTTACGCAGCAGCATAGGTGCAACTTCCACGTACCGCCAATCCTCAATGTGGGTCACACCACTGCATCATGGCACAATCGCAGCTTCCACGCCGAAAGAAGTGACAATCCCGTCACTTCATTGCATACCTACGACGTAGCTCTGTTTGTGGCACAGTATTGAACGCTGCCCCGTAGTGCGATTCACCCTAGCCACCAGAATAAGAACAGAGCTCTTGCTTGTAACACACGGATGCTACGTAGGCTTGAGCTGGCACCAATCAGCTTCAAAATTTCAGCAAAACCAAGCAACAACTGTGTGACCGGTTGACTCTTTCTCAGGGGGAGTCAGTGCACACCACGAAAGGTAGCCGGCAGGTGGCGAACCAACGTGATCGTACCAAAACACTGCCGGCCACGCCTCCATACCCGCGAAATGACAATACTGTTGGGTGGTACCGAAAGGAGGGACAAAGGAGAGCGACTCTGGCTCCAGATGGAGGGGGTTGTCGCTGCGAGCGCTAGCTGCCGCTGAGGAGAGTGTTGATCGCCGCCGTCTCGTCCCAGTCGTTGGACGCTAACGCCCTCCGAGCTTGCGCCTCCGGGAAGCCCATGTCGCAGACCCTTCGCACCACGTCTTCGTTGCCTCCAGGATCGCGCACCTGTAGTCATGGCGCCATCGTGAAGCGCGCAAGTCTTATTCTACAGAT